TCACTCCACAAATTCCACAAATACTGGACTCATCTGCACTGGCAGCACACAGCACCCTCTCCCACTGGGTGGGCCACTGCTTGCCGCATTCATGACAGCTGCCATCTTTGTCGGATCTGTTTCCAGATCTGCAATCCTCCGGGACCAACGAGACTTTAACGTAAAAACGCGCCCGCGTGAACCCAGACTATTCTGACTATGGCCCGCTGATGAGAATGGGGCCGTTTCGCAGGGTTGCCGCCAATGAGAGAATTGTCCGGAAAGTTTTTCCCTTCTCCAATGAAGGTGCCTTGAGCACTGCATAAACGGTCGCAAGACAGATCGAGTTTGTCTGTGTCTATCTTTACCAATTTGAACGAACGGTACTGGATTCAATGACGATGCTAGGCAACGCTTGGGAGTTGCTTGAAGCAAATTCTGCCTGCAGCAACGAAGCAATTCTTTCCAATGACCTGGAAGGCTTTGTCTTGATGAATATCAGCCAACCATCGGTTCTGCAGCCCTCAACAGTTCAGGCTCGCACAGCATTGTCCAAGATCGTGGTTCTCATGCCAATGAGGCAGTTCTCCCCTATCCGACATCCGTGTAGGCAGACCTGCATCCAGACATAGCTTCATGCAAAGTGGCCAGTACACAGAACCCCCAGTGCCTACTGTGCAGAGCCTTGCATACTGCAGCCGGCAGAAATTGCCAGACAGACAAGCCGTGACAATCCCAAGAAAACGTACGGGCTGTGCGCTGCACCCAGTATGAGCCGACGGCTCGGCACCCTCCATAAACAGCATCAGGCAGCAATCCGGGAACTGTTGCTCAACTTAAGGAAAGAAAACTCCTGCAGCTCAATGGCAAAATACAAGTTCGCTTCGGGCTGGACCGAAATTCAGAAATTCTCAGAAAGACCGCCACCTCCGTTCCCGCCACGAAAGAAGATTCTCTATTGTATCTCTATTGTTGTGGCCCACCAACCAATTTTGCATGGAGATGGGACCGAGGTGCTAGTTCATCCGTCTGAAGGCGCTGCAGCCGCAATCCAACTGATCCAACTGCGGCTGCTACTACCCTGTTGAAGTCGGCGTGCGCGCATTCATTCGGTTCCCGTACGTGCTGCGCAAGTTACTTGGAAGGTCGGCCCTATGCCAAACAGGTTGCTCGAACAGCGAATGGCCGTGTAACGCCGTTGTGGTTGCGGTGCTGGGGATATCTCTTCCAATGAAAAAAATCAGTAACTGCACGATCATGCTTTAGTCAGAGGCAGAACTCTCAAGACAGTTGAAGGCGTTCGACACCGTATCGTGCCCATCTGGATGGCGATTCTCTGCAATTCTTGGCACGGCTGTCGGTTTGGGAGCGCCCACTCGTTGAATCTCGCAAGTGATGGCAACCGCTTCGGGCATGTGATTTCCAAGTCTCCCTAACTCTTCAAGTTGTTCTGTCCCCAATTGGTCCCGGCCTGGTGGCCGACGAGACAATTTCTTCCCACAATCAAGGGTTTGCCAGGATCACAGTGCAGCACTGAATTGTCCTCCCGAAGCGATTGCAGGAACTAAGGAACAAAATTACACATGCACCTTCGAGGAACTAATGGAACGGGCCAGGAACCACTTGAAGCTCACCGACATGCTGGATGAACAAATGTCCTGAATATCAGACCCTTCGCCGATGGTAATCACTTCGTTGTCTCCTCAGAACCACGATTAGATGCAGTTGCTGTGACTGTGATTTTGCAGTGTATTGGAATCTGTCTGCACTGCAGCACGCTCAACAGCAGTCCAAAGGCCTCGAAGTGTGCAGTTAAACCAGACGCTTGCATCTTTTCTCAAGGTCACCGTCCCAATGATAGACGCACCAGGAGCAACATATGCACCTCGGCTAGTCCCGGCCCACGTAGTCAAAAGTCCGGGCCAATTGCATAGAGGCGCTGGGATGGATGTGTGGATGGCGGGTTCCCAGACACCAAATGCCAGGCTTTTCTTCCAGCCTGTGCACATGGAACATCTACTGCTGCATAATCTAGCATGGTTGAAGTCTCGACTGCGGAATAGACCGCCTCCCTCCAACTTTGCTAACCCTCGTTCCCAGGACCGACCCTGGTCCACATGCGGACTGAACAAGTCAACTCGCATCCATAGGCACGAAAGGATTGCCACCTGCGACGGCCTGTCCAAATCCCAACTTCAGTTTGCTCTAAGCCAGATGCTGAAAAGATGACAGCTACGGTCCACCAATAACAGTCCGCTGCTTTGGGAAACATGAGGAACCCCCTCATTCCGTACTCAAAAACTTTATGTTCCCGTGTGCTAATGGTCTCGCCCTGTGTTGGTTTGAGCGCAGGTCCACCAGCTGAAGAGGGCGGCGATGGGCCACATTTGCTATGACTGCATACAACTGTACAAGAAGCCCTCCACAGAAAACGCCAGACAGAAATGTCATTGCTCCTGCGCGAGCGAAGGCCTGCTTTGCAGCTGCTGCATGCGGCCGGCCACCTTTTTCAGCGCCTGTTCGGCCTTTTTTCGCTTCTCCCGCTCCTGCGCACAGATTGTGCAGCTACATGCTTTCACATCTTTTTGGCCACAGACAGTTGCATCAAAAAACGGAAACACATTAAAAAGCTGTATCCTGAAGCACCAAGCGAGTCAAAGCTTCCAGCGTTGGTTGCTGAAGATCTATGTCGGCATCGTCATCGTCCGCCTGAAAGGGGTTCCAAAGCGACTTCCGTTTTGACTTAACGTATGCAATGAGCAATAATGAGCATGCAAGAGGGTAAACCCAAGTGTCTCCTGATCCAACTCCAGCTCCAGATCGCCCTTTTGAACGGCCCGTCGACCTTCATCACACGCGGCTTCTTGCCTAGGACACGGGTGAGCGTGCAGTACAGTCGAGATGAACCGGGTCTGAGGAGGCAGCTCTTCCAACTCGTCGAAGTCCATGATGGCACGAGAATGCCACGAAACTATGTTCAACGATGCTGCTAACAGTGGTTTTGATCAGTCCAATTTTGGGGAATTTGCATCTGTCACTGCTAGGCCTGCTAGGCCGCTGGTAAGACCAGCATGTTACCTTCCGTTCAAGCCTAAGCGACTGCTGGAGACAAGAATGGCGGAGCGTTCATGAGTGTTAATGCGCCGTGAAGGCATGCAGTGTCATGTTTGCACAGCACGTCTGCCAGTAGCATTTGCGCTGCACATTGGCGAAGAAGCGTCCTACGCCTGGCCTTCGCCAATCCAGAAGGGACAACACTCTCCACACCAAAGGTCCCGTCCTGCTTGCTCACTCTGATGGAAGAGGTGGCAAGGCACACAAGATTGTTCTCGGATCTTCCTTCTCACCCAGGCCATCATCCCCTTCAGCGAACTGCTCTTGGTTGTCCACTTGCTGACATTGAACTCGCCAGCATCGGCAGCAGCCTTTGCCCAACAAACCTTAAAACGGTTTCCGGGATGAACGATCTTCTGCACTTGCGCGCCTTCTCGCACATGGCCAACCTGTCTGGTGGCCCCCAAGCCCTGTCAGATTCGCAAAGTATGTTCCTCAAGTCGGTATGCATCTCTAGTGCAAAGATCCACCAATCCAATCTGATCTACAAAGGCAACATCCAACCTTATTCGCGTTCCTCGCCGGACATCAACAATCAGCCCAGCAGGCGCTGGATCGGATGCCTGCAAGCACTTCGCTACATGATATATCTCTATTGTGAATCAGTACGGAGAAGCACAACATTGCAGCTTCCTGACGAGGTTTCGTTTTTGCTTTGCCATGGCTGCAAGATGTCTTAGCGTTGCTGTGACTCGCATATCATCGCATATCCTACGCGTAGCTCGTGCAACGAGGACAATGCGGACGCTGCAAACAAAGAACACCTCCAGCTTTGGTGTTGTTGTTGCTCAGCCGTGGCTGACAACTATTGTCAGCATGAGGTGGAGGTGTTTCTGCACAACCGCGGTAATATTTATATCCCACATGTATCTCGTGCAGCCAGGGCAATGCGAGAAAGAAAACTGCAGCCTTGGTAGAAGCATTGTTCGTTGTTCAGCCGAGGCTGCAAGACTCCCTTTCAGCCAGGGCTATGCAAAAAAGCGCATGAGCGGAGGTGGAGGTGTTTTTGCATTGCCATGGCTGCAAGAACTTCGTATAACGCGCATGTCCTGCATGTAGCTCGTTCAGCCGGACAGTGCAAACGAAAAACACATCCAGGTTTGGCAGAAGCGCTTTTCCAGGGCCACACAAAAAAGAACAAACACCTCCAGCAAGGTCGCTTGTGCATTGCCTTGGCTGTAAAGTTCTTTTGCATAACCACGGCTTCCACATGCTATACAGTACATTTTTCTGACTGTTCACAGCCTCCACATGCTGCAAACTACAGCATTTCTGATAGACCCTTACAGCACAGCATTTCTGCTCCAAATGCTGCACATTGCATCATTTCTGATCTTTCACTGGCTCCAACTACTCATCACAGTATTCCTGATTGTTCACAAGCTCCAAAAACTATAAAGCACAACTCTGCATCCACCCCTTCAGGCATATCGAACTTCAAACTTGTGAGACACCCGTCAGATCCCTTCAAAAACTCAATCGAGGGAGTGCTTTGGACTTTTCAGACCTTTCCACTTACAAGATGTCGTAATCGCATTCCTGCAGTTCGGGGTCTGTGGCCGTATTCGTGTTTTTGCGCATTGAGGTTCTGAGACGCGATGGGGTTGCAAGTCCACACACTCAGGCTCAGTCTGAGGCTCAGTCAGAGGCTTGCGTCCGGTCCTAAGTCTTCAAGTCCTTGCCGCAATGAAACGATTTTGCTAAGCAATCGCGAATCTGGGATTTCGGCCGTGGGCAACATAGGGCCGCAGTTCCCTCGGGCCTCCCAACAAGTTCTGGCCACGCGGTAACGCCTTGTAGCTGAAAAGCGCAGAGTGAATCAGAATATGATAGAATATGCAAGGAGCCTGCTGGACGAGACCTCGCAGTCGCCTGCACCATCCCGCCGATGCCTTGGCCCAACATGGTCTAAAATGAGCTAAGAAAACTTGTTCAAGTCGCTTCTTGTTGATCTTCTCCGGCCTCGCGCAGCTCTCTCCAGCCGTCTAGCCAAGGGTGGTCCTGCGAAAGGATGCCCCACACAGGTGATGCTTCCGTAGTATGGACATTTTGGAGCAACAGAAGCCGAATCATCCTAAGGGCTAGATTTTGCCTGCGGCCATGGGCCAGATGTCGAGCAAAAACCGAGTTTGCGAACTGAGCTTTCTGCGACTGATGCCGGCAGATTGGCTACCGTATCGAGAAGTACCAGAAGGATGTCACAGAGCAGGAACAACAAAACAAACAAGGCATCAAAAAACTTTTGTGAAGCCATCACGGTCATGGAGATCAATGAAGATCGTGGCCAAGGTCGCAGGGAATGTGGAACTAGGAAAACCATAGTAACCGTAACAGTAATCGCAGTGATAGAAATGTTTACAACGGCAAGAATTCTAAAAAATAGTGAAAGTAACCGTAGTGAGTTATGGCGATCGATAAAAAGAAATTCTCAATCAAAAGCTAGCAGTCACTAACTAGATCTAATGTAATTATTCAGTCATTAGTAACTACAGGACCCCCAGGCCTGGCACTCGGGCGTGAAAAATGTGTCTCTCGCGCCAATCGGGAGACACTTGCAGCAGATACGGTACTTTGTGACGCTTGGATCCTATCGGGTGCGGAGAGGTAACCTTCAATCTCTGTGTGCGACGGTGGTCCACGTTTTCCCCGTCAAGTCCATGTACTTGTGTGGGCATTTTGGTGTTTCCATTTCTGCAGAAACAAGTTGCTTGGTGACCTTTTGGCTCGCCTTGCTTGTTTTGTGCGTGCTTGCTGCGGTGCTAGCGTCAAAAAATCGTGAACATATCAGATGCAGTCCTCGTGCATTCCATTGCTGAATGGTGTCAAGCCTCACGAACGCCTTGCTTGAACATTCCTGTTGAGGCGCTGTCGCTGTCACATGTTGCCTTGAACAGTGTTGTGCAAGGAAGTGTGCTCTGGTGTGCTTCTCGTGTGCTCTGTATGAGACGACCGCCCAAAATTGCGTGGTTGACCTTGACTGCATGCTGGGCCTAACAAGTTGCTAAACCATTCTGGGCGGCTGCTGTGTCAAGATCGTTGTCGTGGCCTGCTCGGCACTAGAGGTCCACTTTAGACTTTTGCTAGGATGGCTGCCATTTTGTAACATGAGCACCGCAGGCGTGCCCAACAGTTCACGTTGCAAATCCCCGTGTTGACTTCCCAGCGGCTTGCCCCATGTCCTAGCTGTCTGATCCACAACGGCCTACGCAGTCCGCGTAGCGGCTCGGACTACAGTCCTCCATTTCCAGCCGTACAGGGCCCAGGACAAGCACACCACCCAATGGCGCCTGCCAACTTGCATCGGACGTGAGCGTGAGCATTCTAGCAAGCCCCGTGAACCATGGAGAAAGATTCAGCTGCTGGCTCCGTGGCGGCTTGCAAAGCTCATTGCTGCATCTCGACTCGAGAAGCCCCTCAACACGGCGTCCAGACGTGAACACACATGTACGCACACACATGTACGCACACACATACGCACACGTGTGCGGACTACTGCAACAGACGGCCTCTTCTGCACTGCAGATGCCCAGCCCTCGGCGTGGTGTTTGTAGCAGATGTCGCACAAATCATAATCACAACCTGCGCCGAATGCAAACATCCCCACCAGTTTTTGACAGCGCGTTTTACGGTGTTTCGTATAGCCTGTATCTATTTGGTTCCGTCTCCAGATCACAGTCTCCCCCAAAACCAAAAAAGCCAAAGACAAATGGAAGACTAGTCCCCCAGGTCCGGGTCATAGCATCTCAAACTTTTGTTTTTGTTGGTTTTTGTTGTTGTTGAGTGAGTGAGGTTTTTGGTAACAAAAACCTAAACCCTAAAAAACACACAAGACATGGGAGACTAGTTCCCTATGTTCGGGTCATCGTGTCCCATGGCGTTGCATCTTCTTGTTTGGTTCGTTTTGTATTTAGTTTCTCGAACAACTGCTGCTACCAGCCTTATTCGACACACAGAACACATACATACATGATGTGGGTAGTTATTCTACCTCTTCTTTGCATTCCATAGGAGGAAAGCCTTTCAAACATTGGCATTTCTTGGGAACCCGGCTTACTTTTTGATTGTAATTCTCCTCACATTTTCCTAAGAAAATGCCCATGTTTGTGGGGCTTGCCTCCTATGGGATGCAAAGAATTAGTACCAAGTGGAACCGTTGGGAGGGCGTGGGTGGGCTTGTGGATGCTTGTGGTGAATCTTCATTTTGTTGCATCACTCCATGCACGCGAGTTTTCCAAGTTCCCTACAAACAAAGGCATTTCCAACCCAGAATATCAAGAAATGATATTTGCTCACCGTACTATGCCCTCGAATACTTCTTCGTCCTGCGGCTTGAGGATTAAAATCCTTTCTTCTCGATTATCTGTACATCCTTTCTTGTCGTTTATCTGCATTTGAGATCCAATACATATTACCCTATATAAATACATGACGTGGGTACTATTGTTCCTTTTCTTTGTGTTTCCATAGGGACAACGCCTACAAACATAGGCATTTCTTCGTCACGGCTCACACATAAAAGATTTTAGACACTGAGGCTTCCCTACAAGTATATCGAGTCCATCTCCCTAGGAGATAAACATACAAAATGCCTCTTTGTTCTGTCGGGGTTGGTCTTCAGGGGGGGGGGGGGGGGGGGGGGGCGTGACCGCATTCATCGGCGTGTATTACAACATATTTCCTAGCATTTCTAGTAGATTGTACGGTACTTCTTATACACATGTTCATCATAAATTAGATATACATGTATTTATTTCTTCATATTTGTAATTATACTGATTCTTCTTTACTTTCCATTTATACTTATTTTTGATATTGTTGTGTATACGCCGTATGTATGTGTACGTTGTTTATATGTATGTAATTACACACTTTGTACTGCTTGTGAATCGCCGTTGCTGTTGGTAATTAGTGGTGGTGTGGGTGGTAAATGGTGTTGCTGATGCTGTTGTTGTTGATGATGATGGTGATGATGAAGTTGGTTCAGGTGGTGTCATTGGTGTGCTTTCGAGATTTTCCGCCTGCAGTCGTCGAGCCAGGCGTATCGTTCCACTGGCGTGCTTGAGTCTCATGAGGCTTGCATGGGCTTGCGGTCGATCCGAACTTCAGTCGAATTCATGCCAGATACGCATCCTCAGTCAACGCTCCGCACAAGTCACTGCAACGATTCCCAACCCCAAAATGTTCGCGAGTTCCTGAGGAATTTTCAGTAAACTGCCATCTGCGCGTACAAGTGCATTCACAGCGAGCTGGGCCGATCACTGCATGAATCGTGTTGGGACTTGCTCGGACATCAGGCTTTGATTGTCCGAGCATCTGGGCCTTTCAGTGCGTGAATGCCGTGAGCTTCGATTTATGCGAAAGCAGGTTTGGAAAGAGATCGCCAAGTTACCAAGTCCGGTGAGGCAACATGGAAGTGCAGGAAACGGAACAGCGAAGATTCCCTGTAGCATCTTGCGACCGAGATGGGTCAACCCCCAAACCCCAAACCTGAAGCCCTAGCTTCTCAGGGTGAGCAGAGGGCCTCCTGCTTCGGTCCCGACTCGCAGGCCCCGCCAAAGATCCAGGGGGCATGCTTTCACCAATGCTCTTTGATGGTAGCAGTTCGGAGAATATGTGGTTCGGATCCCTTCCCCATCAACTCTACAGATGTGCTTCCTGTACTTCCCCGTCCTCCCGAAGACCCGGAAACATGTCGATCAGATTCGATCACTCCAGTGAACGCTCTCAGCGCTTCCTTTCGATCTTTTGCTTCATAGAAAAGATTGAAATAGTTTGACATGCAACATGAGGAGGCAAGCAATGTGCTCGCCTTCATGGTCTGCCAAGATTGCAGCGAGGATCAGGGATGGCACATGTTGCGAGTCTCAAGGACGTGCCTCCTCCACATCGAGCAGCCGTGCCACGTCGCGAACACTCGTCGCATATGTGCCCAGTCTCGGTGTCCACTCCATTCCATCGCGGGGCAATCTGAACATGAATCTGGCCCTGGGCAACCGACTCGGGACCAGTCCTGCGACTGAGCGTCATTCAGTGGCAAGAAATGCGGCCATGAGCTCTCAATCTCCTGCCGCATGGCATGCCCTTTTGGGCAGTAGACCTCTCTCACACTGGTGCCATCTCCGTCTCCCTGCCAGCACAGCAGATGTGTCAGCACAGAGCACAAGTGCTGTTGCAGGAACTGCCTGCGGCTGGGTCCAGTAGGCCATAAACATCTCCAACTCGGTGCCCTTCCGCGGTGACCACGCTCAGTGTCACAAGTGCAGGGCAGGCATTCTGGCCTGTGGCACGTGACAGTCGTCTTCGATGATGCCTGCTCTCCGAAGAATGAAGATCATGAAATAGCATGAACGTCAATTCCCTTGAATCCTTTGACCACATGAAATCACATGAAATCACATGAAATCACATGAAATCACATGAAATGACATGAAGATGCTTTCTGCAGCAAGGAGGTGGCAAGGAGGTGGCAAGGAGGTGGCAAACGAGGGCAAACGAGGGCAAACCAGGGCAACCTGTGTGCCTGCCTCGGAGCTCACCATCGTGCAGGAGCAAGCGTGTAATGCACTTGCCAGGCCTTGAGACCCGCACACATGAAGGCATATGACCAGTGTGTGTGTGGTGTTGGTGTGTTGGTGTGTTGGTGTGTTGGTGTGTTGGTGTGTTGGTGTGTTGGTGTGTTGGTGTGTTGGTGTGTTGGTGTGTTGGTGTGTTGGTGTGTTGGTGTGTTGGTGTGTTGGTGTGTTGGTGTGTTGGTGTGTTGGTGTGTTGGTGTGTTGGTGTGTTGGTGTGTTGGTGTGTTGGTGTGTTGGTGTGTTGGTGTGTTGGTGTGTTGGTGTGTTGGTGTGTTGGTGTGTTGGTGTGTTGGTGTGTTGGTGTGTTGGTGTGTTGGTGTGTAGGTGTGTTGGTGTGTTGGTGTGTTGGTGTGTTGGTGTGTTGGTGTGTTGGTGTGTTGGTGTGTTGGTGTGTTGGTGTGTTGGTGTGTTGGTGTGTTGGTGTGTTGGTGTGTTGGTGTGTTGGTGTGTTGGTGTGTTGGTGGGATGGTGTGTTGGTGTGTTGGTGTGTTGGTGTGTTGGTGTGTTGGTGTGTTGGTGTGTTGGTGTGCTGGTGTGTTGGTGTGTTGGTGTGTTGGTGTGTTGGTGTGTTGGTGTGTTGGTGTGTTGGTGTGTTGGTGTGTTGGTGTGTTGGTGTGTTGGTGTGTTGGTGTGTTGGTGTGTTGGTGTGTTGGTGTGTTGGTGTGTTGGTGTGTTGGTGTGTTGGTGTGTTGGTGGTTGGGGTGTTGGTGTGTTGGTGTGTTGTTGCGGTGCGTGTGTTGGGTGTTGGTGTGT